TTTTTTTTTCATACTGATAATGGAAGTAAATACTATCATGAAGTCTCAAGATTGACCTTATGAAAGAAATTTTTCCTGTTTTTAAATAAGAAAAAATCAAAACAAACTTTCTCTATGATGGTACATTAAAGTACATAATACAAATTTTCAAGATTAGTTACTTTAAAAGTCAACAGTTACAATGTCTTCAGTTCTTGCTTCACACTTACTCATTCGACACTTAGAGATTTTCAATTATTTTTTTCGTAGTCAAACTAAAGAAGAACAATCTGATTTCAATCGCTGAAATCGGTTTAAAACCGAGTGAGATTACTATACTACGTTAAATTTATGTATATGTTTGAATGTGTTAGAACTTCATAAAAACTATCAGGAACTATGAGAAATCAATATATGTTATTATGAATCAACAAAAATCCTCACTGACATTACTAAAAGTGATTTAATTGATTTCGATTATTTTGCTTTATATTCTCGAATATTAATGATTTCCACTAGTCTCAGCTTTCAGTCCTGGTTTTAAAAGGTTTCTTGCGGGTTTTATTTGTATCCAAGAAGTTCTAAATATTTTTGTTGAGATTTCAAACATCATTTGAAATTACTTAAAATTATTCGATTCGTGAAATCGTGTCCTTTTTATTTATAAGGGGCTAAATAATTTAAATTTAGTACTTTGACGATGAGGGTGATAGTTTCACCGAAATATAGTTAATTTTTTGATTGGTAATAGAAAGAAGGCAAACTATGGTATGAAAACAGTTGATTATTTTTATACAAATTTAATACATTGTAGTTGTAACTTTATAAATTCGAATCAATTCGTATCAATAGTGTAGATAGATTATAGATAAAAAAAGTTATTTAAAAACGATTTGGATAAATTAATGAAGGAAATGAACGAAAAATGAGAAATCATATACAGGTAATTTATTTGGATGAGAAAAATAAATGCAAGTACAAATGACATATAAACAAGAATAAGGAAGAAGAGAGAAATAAGGCTTATACATAGTAGATGCGTATGATATTCGTTCTCTTGAAGCCATGACATGTCATTGCATATAAGTGTAGTAATGTTACATGATAAGCATTTGTTACAATATGAAAGGTATCAATGGTATCATATATAGTAGTATACAAGTATTTCTTATCGAAATAAGAAGAATATACAGGTTACAATAATGGTAGTGTTAAAAGTACATAAAAAATTATTTATATAATTTATATTAACTTACATCATCAGTATAAAAGTAAATTTTGAGCAAAGTTTTACCAATAATTTCTAGATCAGCGGACTTGATTGAATTAAAGTGAAAATATTTGAAATTTTGATCAGAATGTTATTTATGAGCTACCTTGTATTTATTTCATCGGTAGGTTTTAATATTTATGTTGTGAGAAATTCATAAGATAACTTGCTATTTCTACTCAAACAAAATCGATTAGGATACCATAAGATTTAGTGGATTTCTGGTAGAATAATTACGTGAATGTTGAATAAATATCATTGGATTCAAAACTTCTAAACAAGAGTTACAATCCGTGAGCTATACTTTAAAAAAAAATATATCTTGAAAACAGTTTCGATAATTATCTTTTATATTGATATACAATTAATCGAATGCAAAGTTTTTCATACTTGGATTTCGTAGACTCTAAATTGTTCTGGGCTAACAATAGATAGCAGTATAGTTATTAGAATAAAGTTCGTTTCATTCCTTTCGTTTACAGGTGTTGTTGTTCTCAAGTCTGTCGTCAACATATTTCAAATATCAATTGGTTGATATGATTAAATGCGTCTTAATTATTTAGTATCATTTTGATTTATATTGTTTTCAAAACAAAAATGTCATTCTAACCTAAGTCAATATTTTTGATCAATACAATTTACTTTCTTTATTTGATTTAGTTTTTACAGAAAAAAAACGTTGAAATATATCTATATTAGTAATAATATTGAAAAATAATAGCAAAAAGCATTAGCATTATTGAAGGTAGATATAGTTGATGATTTGAATGAGCCAATCGTTGATTAATTCCATAAACCAACCGTTTTCTCATCATCGTTGGTAAATTTTTATTACAATTACTTGTATTACAACAATGAATACGGTGATTAATCACGTTTAATTCTGTACAATGTTTTGTACCACGTAAAATTACTTTTTCTACGCCTGTTTTATTACTAATATAATGATTACTCTAATTAAAGTAAATAAAAATTTTATTTTATTTTCTCCGAAATACAAAACTTACCATACAAACGTGTCCAGCATCATAACGAGGATTAGGTATGTCATATTCATTATGATCTTCTCCACCATCAATATTCAATGGTAAAGTACAAAAATGTCCTATACTTTCACATGTATAACATCGAATTGATAATACATATGGAATCAATCCTATTTTTGTTTTGAAAATAATATAATAAAAAAAAAATGAAATATTTTAATTCAAAAAAAAAGAAATATTTCTTACCAAGAGCACAAATCCATCGTAATATCATTGCCATAACTGATTCTTTTGTCAATACTATTTTAACAATAACAAAATAACCTTCTTAGGAGAAAAATGAAAGGACATTCTTTTGCTTTCTCTACAATCATAATAACAAAAATATATTATTTATGTAAAGCCTTTTTTTGTGCATTAGAAAGTATAATACATAATGTTGATTATACCAATGAGAAATAATATAAATATATATATATTTTTAATTGTAAGAACGACCAATAGGTGTTTATATTAGTTTTTATTAAAGGACGAGTCTTTCACATATTGCTTCATGTTTTTTGAAACAGATATAAACAAAGCCAATCATCAATACGAGTTGATTAAAAATTACTTTTTTTTTGTTTGTATGAAAATTATATTAACGAAATAAAAACTAATCTTTAACACAAGAAGCTATATGACTGATAAATATTATGAATTCAATTATTCTATTTACTTCACGTGTTATTATAAATAAAAACGATTGGAGCATATATTATAATGAAAAAGTAATATGCATGTATATACACATATTCTATAGGTTGTATTTATTCCGATTTATGGATATTTTAAGTTATATTGATAAATCACCTTTATAAAAAAAAATATTCGAAAAAAAAGATGAATACGAGTTAAATACGGTTTCTCGCCAAATATTAATTTAACTTGAAAGCTACATGATAAAAATTGGTCCTACTCGTCACGTGTATATAACGGACAAAATCAATACATTATTATTGAAATTGAAACGAAAAATACAATACAATTGACATCGCTCATAAAAGATATTAATATAAATATATTACTAATTGAATTACAAGGACATTCACGTTTATAATATTCGTCATAACAATAGTTTTGATTCATTCTTCTTACTGTTTGAAATCAATATTTGATTTCATTTTAGTATTTTTACACCTGATGACAAATAGATAAAATCCTCAAATCATGATATCATATTTTAATCATCAATAATATTGATTTGTTTTTGGAATGTATCCTATTCGCCTACTCTTTCTTTTTTCGTTTGGATTTAACTGCCTTGCATTAACGATCATATTCGTTTTTGTGTCTGAAAATCACGAGCATTCATGTTCGGCATTTTGATTGTATTCTTTTATTGTATTACATCAGCTTATGGTCATGGCTATCTACTTGAACCTGTAGCTCGTAGTTCAGCATGGCTTGTCGATCCATCATTTAAACAATGTTGTACTTGGCCACAACATAATGAAATGTTTTGTGGTGGTATAGGACATCAATGGAATATTAATGGTTTGTTATTTATTTTTTATTATCACATAATCATTCGATATTCTATTATTTATTTAGATGGAAAATGTAGTATTTGTGGTGAAGCTTATGATAAACCAGTAAAATTATTTGAGAAAGGTGGAACAATGTATAAAGGTACAATTGTTCAAAAATATACTCAAGGACAACAGATCGAAGTAAAAGTTGTTGTAAGTTCAATTTGAAAGGAATAAATATTATCAAAAAAATATCTATCTTTATTATTGATTATAGTTATCAGCTAATCATAAAGGTTATTTTGAATTTCGTTTATGTAATCTGGATGCTAGTCCATTAGCTGATGCTACCCAAGAATGTCTTGATCATAATTTATTAAAAATTGCTGATACGGATTCAACTAAATTTAGTGATGTTGGTAAATATGGGTCAACAACGATTAATATTCGTGTACAACTTCCTCCAAATGTTGCTTGTCAACATTGTGTTTTTCAATGGAAATATACAGCAGGAAATAATTGGGGTACAGATCCTATTACAGGTCAATCTGGCGGTGGTCTAGGAAGAGAAAATGAAACATTTATGGGTTGTTCTGATATTGCTATTCTACATACTGGTTCACCTACTGAACCACCTATGGTTATAATTCCGACAACGTAAGTCTATTTAATATTTTTTTTCTTTTCATTATGATATATCTATATATAGACCTACAATTACAACAACATCTATAACGACAGGAACTAACACTAATAATGCACAAGTAACAACCTCATCAAATCAATGGACATGGCCATCATCATCAAGTCAAGGATCAGTACCAACAACAACATACCATTGGACATGGCCAACACTATCAAGTCAAGAATCAGTAACACCAATGACTACTAGTACTTTTCGTGCTCCACTCGGTTTAACAACATGGTCATCGGAACTTTTTGAATATCAAATAGGTGATGAAGTCATGTATGATGATATTAAATATCGATGTGTTGCACCACATCGATCATTTCCAGGTGCCGAACCAGGTGTACTTACTTGGGCATGGTGGCAACGTGTTGAAGAAGAAAGTTAACATGAATATTCTATCAAATATATTTTGCAAATACATAAAAAGAAATGCGTACGAAATAAAAGGAGACATCATAATTAGAAATATAAACTCAAATATGCAATTAAAAAGATATCAAAATAAATATGAATAAATAACGTTATGTAAAATTAAGGCTTGAAAAAGAAAGCTTTTGACTTTATTTATTGCTTTTCGAATGTTGATTTTACTTAATTCAAATTAGCCTAATAATTGAGCAGAAAATAGTTAACTACATTTAAAAAATGAGAAAAAATTAATTCATTTTTTATGCTTTGTTTTATATCTATCAAACTTTATGGTAACTGTTATATTTTGTTCATCTGATATAATGAAGAGATTGACTTAATTTAGTGATAAATATCTCACTTTTCTTACTATTGAATATTACCATATACAATACAAGAGAAATGAGATAAATGTCGATCTATCTTTTTCTCTTTCTAGTCGAATATAAATTATTTTTACGATATATTTCGAAAATGCAGTATTAACTAGTAAAGTTACTCACGTATTATTTTTTATCATATAAAATTTCTTTTTCAGACTGAATTTTTCTACTTTGTTCTATGTGGGTATTATTTTCATGATATATTTTTCCCTTGAGTTGTATACGCATGATCAGCATTCTTGATTCATTCTCACATGATGAAGTATTATCGCTTCCCCTCGATCCTCTCGATATAAATATGTGCTTTAATGTGCGCAGGCATTCATTCGTTTTCACTTCAAATACAAATGAAATACATCTTCGCAATCATACTCTTAGTGTGCTTTCAAAAATCGGTATCGGGACTTGTAGAACATCCGAGTGGTAATTGGAGAACTGACATACGTACTACGAATGTTGGTCGTGTTAAATATGAAAAAGGTGAAGTAAACTTATTTCAAAATCAAGAGAAACCAACCAGTTTCTTCTTTACTCCATTTCCCCTTGTTAATCCATCAAATAGCAAATGTCATACAAATATTTTAAGTGGTTATGTCGAATTGAGTTTTGCAGTTGAACTTTACACTTCTCAATTAACTGAAGCAGTGAACAATTATTTGAAAGAACATTTTTCAACATTATGTAACAGTAATAAAACATGTCATATTTCAATGCTTCCAATGAACGTTATTGGTCTCATTCAAAAAGGTTTACGAGCAAATAAAATTCAAGAAATGTACAAAATCAATCAAGAATGGTTTCCAAATACTGTTTTCTTACAATCAATCAATTTTCCAATATATACAAAAAATGAAAGTATATGCGAACATCTTCTTTCATTTCTTGTTGATGATTGTTATCTATCGAATTTCGAAATACATTATTCTCTCCAACCGGAAAAGTTAGTCGAACGACAAATTGATATAACAACTGAACAGATTACTAGTACAGCAATATTCAATCGAATTCGATCGCAATTCTCTATGTCCGATACAGTTGTCATCACCAATGATGATTACAAACAACTTCTCAATGAAATTATCGATAAAATTAATATAAAAATACGTACACAAGAAGGCTTTGGTAGTTCAATACAAGATTTAACTGTTATTGAAAGATTACTTGATCAACAATTATCATTCAAACAGGTTAAATACTGATTTTATTCTAAGTTTTTCAAGAAAATATTTTTATTTATATTAGGTCCATTTGAATAAAACAGATGATAAATTATGGAATTCACTCTATTGGAAACACGATTTCACTCGACCAGATCGTTTAGCTAAAATGATCAGCACAATCATCTATAAAAATTCAACGAATGCACATTCTTTTCTTTATGATCATCAAGCAGTTAGTAAAAATAATCACAAAATCGGCTTGACTCAACATGATATTGATCGCATCGAAGAACTTGATAAACTATTAACAACTCGTCCTACTCACGAAGGAAAATACTATGAAGATGAACAACTCGACAATGATATTAGTAGTATTAACGCCATAGTAGAAGAATCTGAATTTCATCATAATACATCGTACATATTATCGCGTGCTGATGTTATTAAATATCTAAGTAAACTTTCTAATGATATTCATCTAGAAGGTGAAATTATTGTTCCTAAACCAATCGATCTTCATCTCATTAAAATGAATTCAATGAAAGTTGAAAGAAAACTGTTCACACATTCAGCTCTTATTCGTACTCGAAGTGATATTCATGTTCTACCTCTTCAATGTCCATTAAATGAGAAAATGAAAACTAATACAATGACTGATCGATATCGTTGGCTTGAGAGTAGAGTTATGAATTTGACAACATCGAATCAAGAGCTTACGAATCAATCGTCTGAATGTCATCGAGAACGAGAACAACTTTTAAAACGAATTGCTACTTTAGAACAAACAACACTGAAAGGTTAGAAGCGTATAATTAAAAGATTGTGAACTCATCAATATTCTTTTTAGAACCGAATAAATTACAAACTACGAGCAAATGGAAACCAAAAGGAATTACAGTTGCTGGTGGTCATGGTAGCGGAAATCAAACAAATCAACTCTTTTATCCTTGTGGATTTTTTCTTGATGTTAATGAAAATCTTATTATTACGGATTATTGGAATAATCGTATTGTCAAATGGGATTATAATACTACTGGTGGTGAAGTCATTGCTGGTGGAGATGAACGTGGAAAAAATCGTGATCAATTGAATAGTCCAAGAGATGTTATTGATGAAAGACAATATAATTCTTTCATTATTTGTGATCGTGATAATCGAAGAGTTGTGCGATGGTTTCATAACAGTAAAGAACATCAACAAATTCTTATAGATGATATCGATTGTTGGGGTTTAGCTATGGATATGTCAGGTTCTATTTATGTTTCTGATTGGAAATCTAATGTAGTAAAACGATGGCGACAAGGAGAATCAGATATGACTATTGTTGCTGGTGGAAACGATGCTGGAGATCGATATGATCAATTGAATTATCCTACTTATATCTTTGTTGATGAAGAGTATTCTATTTATATAGCAGATAGTGATAATCATCGTGTTATGAAATGGAGAAGTTATGCAAAAGAAGGTGTTGTTGTTGCTGGCGGAAACGGAAAAGGAAATAGTCTTAATCAATTAGTTAATCCTCGAGGTATAGTTGTTGATCATTTAGATCAAATCTATATAGCTGATATGCGTAATCATCGAATTATGCGTTGGCAAGAAGGTGAAAAAGAAGGTTCCATTGTTGTTGGTGGTTATGGTCCAGGACATGAATCATATCAATTACATCATCCAACTGCTTTAGCATTTGATTATGAAGAAAATCTTTATGTTGCTGATTGGGACAATCATCGAATACAAAAATATGAACAGAATTCTAATTGAGGATGTGGGTATAGTTGAAGAAATTTAATATTGTTTAAAAATAAACCTGTGTGTCATGACATCTATTGATCATTTATTTAAATTGAAATTAATAATTATTTTTAAAACTATTTTTTAGAGAAAAAGTATCATCGAAAAGAATTTTATTTATATTTTTTCAAGGTTAATTTGGATTTACCAATACGAGTATTTTAATGAATCATATTTAATTTAACATTCGTTGTGATCTGTCATATTGGGAAAAAGAGAAGAAATCATATTTTGATCTGCATAGTAGTAACAGTCTTAATCAATAAAATAAGAGGATTATCTATATTCTAGGTTGTTCACTTTCGTTCAATTATGAGTGATTACATAGTACCATTGTCATCTAGTTTAGAATGTCTTCCAAATGAAATTTTATTAGAAATATTTGGTTATATACAAGTACATGATCGGTTGCGTGCTTTTTATAATGTAAATAATCGTTTGAATTGTATTTTGTTTGCATCGAATGTTCATTTATATATTCTTTATCCCGATGATATACAGAAGAGTAAAATTAATGAGAACATATTATTACATCTAATAACGAGTGAAAGATATATTTCACGACTTCGATTGATTAATGATAAAAGTATATTAAATCAAAAATTCATTAGATTTTCCTTCATACGATCATTAATTGTTGACATTCCAACAACTAAACTTATTAGTATGATAACACCGGAATTATTTTCTCGTTTAGAATATATTCATACTGGTTATTCATCAGTTCATATTAATTTAGATACACTTCATCGAGATATATTTTCCAATGGATTTCCATTATTAAAAAAATGTTCATTAAATAATATTAGTATTAATCAACAATGGACTGGTTCACCATCTATAAA